TCTTTTTGAGACAGAGTCTTGTACTGTTGCCCAGGTGGCATGCTCTCAGCTCACTGCAATCTCCACCTCCTGGGTTCCAGTGATTCTCCTGCCTCAGCTTCCCAAGTAGCTGGGATTACAGCTACCCGCCACCACGCCCGGCTAATTTTTTGTATTTTTAGTAGGGACAGGGCTTCACCATGTTGGTCAGGCTGGTCTCGAACTCCTGACCTCGTGATCCACCCGCCTCCGCCTCGCAAAGTGCTGGGATTACAGGGGTGAGCCACTGTGACCCGCCAAGACTCCCTTTCTTAAAAGGCTCAACAAGATGATCTAAACTAAAAATGCAATGCCTAAAAGTTCTAATTATGGCAATCTATTTCTAACAGGACAAACACAATGTAAGGAAATTTAAACAGGCCAGATATTTCTGTTTCTAAAATAAGGAAATAGCAGGATAACTTTGTGCAGCAGTAATCAAATTTCAGTCACAAACAGAAACTCCTTGGGCACTCGTTAAATAAGCAGTTATCGTCCGGGCGCGGTGGCTCACACCTGTAGTCCCAGCACTTTGGGAGGCCGAGGCGGGCAGATCACCTGAGGTCAGGAGTTCGAGACCCGCCTGGCCAATATGGTGAAACCCTGTCTCTATTAAAAAAACAAAAAAATTAGCCAGGTGTGGTGGTGGGCGCCTATAATCCCAGCTACTCAGGAGACTGAGGCAGGAGAATCGCCTGCACCTGGGAGGTGGAGGCTGCAGTGAGCCAAGATCGTGCCATTACACTACAGCCTGGGCGACAGGAGTGAAACTCCCTCTAAAAAAAAAAAAAAAGTTATCAGCTGGGCACAGTGGCTTAGGCCTATACTCCCAGCACTTTGGCAGGCCGAGGCAGGTGGATCACCTGAGGTCAGGAGTTCAAGACATGCCTGATCAATATGGTGAAAACCCTGTCTCTACTAAAAATACAAAAATTAGCTGGGTGTGGTAGCATGTGCCTGTAGTCCCAGCTACTCAGGAGACTGAGACAGGAGAACTGGTTGAACCTGAAGGCAGACGCTGCAGTGAGCCGAGATCATGCCACTGCACTCCAGCCTGGGTGACAGAGCGAGACCCTGTCTCAAAAAAATTAAAAAAAAAAACAAACAAAAAAATGCAGTTATCTGCCCTTATGTAGAGGTGGGGCTGAAGAGATCAAAGTGTGACCAACAGTTTTCAATACTGTGTATTCCCTACCCTAAGAGATGCTGATTTAGTGAGGAGGTGACAGCCAGAAACTTTCATTTTGATTTTCAAACGACCCAGGTAATTCTAAGGCAAGTATTTCAAGGCCACTTTGAGAAACCTGTGCAGTGGCTCTGATATCAGAAATGTGGTTTCAAGTTCAGCTCTCCCACTCATTGCTGTGTGACCTCAGACCACTAACTTAGTTTCTCTGAAGTTCAGATTTCTCATTAGAAAAAGGGGGATACTAAAGGCTACAGAGGGATGATGAAATATAATGAAATATAATGAAACAATGATTATGCTGTGCCCACCTATAATTATATAATTATTATGATTCACTCAGTTCCATGGGACAAATATAAGGAAGAACTGGGCAAGTGTACATATCCATCCTGATGTTCCAAAAGTGTTCTAATTCATGTTTTTTTTCCATTTCCATATTAAAATTTTCATCTACAGGATTCTATAAGAACATCTCCGTCAGGCGTGCTCTTTTGTTTTCCTCTTCAATTTTGTAATACACAAAAAAGTTTCTGGGGCCAGGTGTGGTGGCTCACGCCAGTAATCCCAGCACTTTGGGAGGCCAAGCGAGCAGATCACAAGGTCAAGAAATCGAGACCATCCTAGGCAACACGGTGAAATCCCGCCTCTACTAAAAAAATAAAAAAAAAAATGCAAAAACTTAGCGGGCATGGTCAACGGACTCCTGTAGTCCATGCTACTCAGGAGTGAGGCAGGAGAATGGCGTGAACTTGGGAGGCATAGCTGCAGCGGCTGAGATGCGGCCCACGACTCCAGCACTGGCAACAGAGCAAGACTTGTATCAAAAAAAAAAAAGAAAAAAAAAAAAAAGAAAAAAAGAAAAATTCTGGACAAATTATCTTAAGAGCTTCCAGATTCCATGAAGCAATCTTCCTCGAAGGCATAAGCCAATGGAACACAAATATTCACCAAAAAGATACTTTCACACATCGACATATCTCAAAAATTAATATTTTTATTTTATGAACATTAATAAAGTCCCTCAGAAAGTAATTCGTGGTTTGCTTGTGCTAGTAGACCTCAAAAATAGGACCAAAGTATCTAAATATAAAGTCATATGCTTTATATTTACAAAAATCATTTAATTGTGCTCTAAATCAACTCCTCTACTCCATTAAGTAACTCTGCTCGTTTCCCCTATTTTTAAAATCCAAAATTACAATTTAAAAAATTTTTTAGAGAAATGATTCCACCTGTGTCTACCCGAAGGCTCCTCTCAATGCCATAAGGCTCACTGTTCTTAAGCCCCTCTCATTCTCGTCAAATAGCTAGGACGATAGGCATATACTACCAAGCTGTGCCTAAGTTCAAAAACAGAAATCGTTGTTTTTTTTTTTTTGAGATGATTTTGCTCTTGTTGCCCAGGCTGGAGTTGCAAGGCACATCTCGCTCACTGCAACCTCCACCTCCCCAGGTTCAAGTGATTCTCTGCCTCACGCCTCCGGAGTAACTGGAATTACAGGCATGCACCACTCATGCCCAGCTAATTTTTTGTATTTTTTAGTAGAGATGTGGTTTCAACCATGTGGTCAGTGCTGGTCTTTCAAACTCCTGACCTCAGGTGATCCACTCGCTGTTGGCCTCCAGAAGTGCTGGATTACAGGCCTGAGCCACCACATTCCGATCTTAAAGATTTACACACAGGTGATTGGGGTGTTGCTATGTTGCTCAGGCTGATCCTTGAATTCCTGCCTCACAACAAATCCGCTTGCCTTGGCCTCACCAAAAATGCTGGGATTACAGGTGTGAGCCATTGGCCTGCCCAAAACTAAAAATCTTAGAAACAACCAGTAATTCCATATGATGCTTTTGCTTTAACCTGAAATTCTAAATAATGTCTTTGTTTACAATGAGAAATTAATTTATAAAGTATGCAGCACCTTCTCCATCTTTCCTACTATTTAAAAGTTCGGTTGGGCACAGTGACTCATGCCTATAATCTCAGCACTTTGGAAGGCAGAGGCAAGAGGCCCACTTGAGCCCAGGAGTTTGACACTGGCCTGGGCAACATGGTGAGACCCTGTCTCTATAAAAACAAACGAACAGGCCGGGCGCGGTGGCTCACGCCTCTAATCCCAGCACTTTGGGAGGCCGAGGGGGGCAGATCACGAGGTCAGGGGATCGAGACCATCCTGGCTAACACGGTGAAACCCCGTCTCTACTAAAAATACAAAAAATTAGCAGGGCATGGTGGAGGGCGCCTGTAGTCCCAGCTACACCCCTCGGGAGGCGGAGCTAGCAGTGAGCCAAGATAGTGCCACTGCACTCCAGTCTGGGTGACAGAGCAAGACTCCGTCTCAAAAAACAAACCACAAACAAAAACCTAGCTAGGCATGGTGGCCCATGCCAGTAGTCCCAGCTACTTGGGAGGCTGAGGTGGGAGGATCACTTAAACCCAGGAGGTAAAGGCTGCAGTGAGCTATAACCATGCCACTGCACTCCAGCCTGGACAACAAAGGGAGATACTGTCTCATAAAACCAAATAAATAAATAAAAGCTTTATAAAAGTCATCAGTTCATACTAACTACTTCATCTGTTATTGCAAACAGCAATAACATCCCACAATATTTTATCACCTACCAAATATGCACTAACAGATGTCTCTTTCACATTAAGATGGCTAAGAAAAAGCAAAAGGGAAAACTGAAGGGCAGGCTGTGAAATGTGAAGGAACCACGAAACCTTGATGAATAGTAATTATCATATATCAACATTTTCCAAGTGCTCACTTGTACAAGGGACTATAAAGATAACCACCCTTCAGCCAAGAAAAAAGGGAGTGGAGAGAGGGGTGGAAGGGAGGAATCAGAGACCAGAAGGCTCTTTCTGAAGTAGAATGCAACTAACCTCAGAACACCAAGAGTAGAATGGAGGTTATCAAAGGCCTGGCGGGGTGTGTATGTGGGGGGTGGGGGGGTGGAGCGTAGATGTTGGTCAAAGGGTACAGACTTGAAATTTGCTTAGATCTCAAATGTTCTCACACACAAAAAAAACTGGTAACTAGGTGAGGCAGTGGATATGTTAGGTTGATTGTGGTACTCATTTCACAATGTATTGGTGTATTAAAATATAATGTATATCTTAAGTATATACAATTATCAATAGTATTTTTCAATATACCTCAAAGAAGCTAAGGGAGAATAAAACACCAAGGAAATCCTCCCAAAAACAGGATTCGCTGGATATTAGAAAAAGTAAAGATACCGTGGGCTACCCGCACTTTGCATAATCTAATAAGCACTGGACAGGAGTTGATTCGGCTACTGTAAAAATCTTTGCAAAATGGTAATGTAGACTACACCGGTACTATTTGAGAGACAGAGAGAAGGGTGGGCGGGAGCAAGTTCGAGATGTCAACACCGGGTGAAAATTGAGGGTGCCGCCGGAAGGTCCGAGAATGGGTTTTCATGGCCCTAAAGTGGCGAGGGAGGGTGGGGGCGTTCCAGCTCCCGCCTCCACTTCCACTTCCCCACCTGCACCCCGCCCTGGGTGGGAGTGGAGGTCCATCAGAAGGCCCGAACCAGCGGCGGGGAACAAGAAAACAGCCGCGGGTCCCCGGGAATCGGAACCGAGCGGCCCCCAGGGAGGAAGGGCTGCAGGAGGGTGGGGCGCGGTGCAGCGAGGAAACCGAAAGGAGGACTACGGAGAGGGAGTGCGGCGCGGCTGGGGACCCCTCCCCGTACCACACCCGTGAACCCAGGATGGGGAGGGAGGGTGGTAGGGTTCCGCGAGCGAAACGGAGGCAGAACTTACTCCGCGGTCCTCTTCTGAGAGGAAGTCCGGGCCGTCGTCCAGGCCTTCCTGCGGGGTCGGCGGGCCCGACGCGCCGGAGAAAAGGATGGGATGGGGGAGACACAAAGGGAGACATTAGTGCCAGGCTGGCGCGGTCCCCGCGCCCGCCCCGCGCCCGCCGCCCCCACCGCGCTCCCGGGGCTCGGCGCCGCGGAGAACACCCACCATCATGGCTGCTCCGAGGCTAGGGCCAGCGCAGGCGCGCATCCCCCTGCTGCCCGCGGGAGCCGGCGGCCGCGAGCGGGGCGGGGCGGGGCGAGGCGGAGGCGGAGGGGCGGGACCTAAGGGCGGTCCCGCCCCGTCCCCGGCGCTGAAAGCTGGAGTCCGTGAGCAAGGAAGGGTAACAGGGCCCTCCGCCCAAGGTCAAGGCACCGAAGTCGGGAGATTCTGAAGACCCAGATCTCATGGCTGGGAGCACCTCGCTGCTGGCGGGCTCTGACCAGGGAAGGGCCGAAGGCCACGCAGGGATTTCTCCAGTTGCCCTGCCCCGAGGGCTCCAGCGAAAAAACGAAGCAGGCGCCCTCCGGAAGCCACGATACATCATCTAGTCTTTGTATTATGCCACACGATAATTAATCACAATAATATTTTGCCTATGGAAGTCGCTGGAAACAAGGACCTTCACAGAGTCAGTAATCAGGGACTATAATCAAGCTTTTATTGCTGGCGAGGTAATAACTACCTCAGAGTTTGGGGGCACTAATGGTTGCGAACTACAAAAATGAGCTGTTTTCATTACAAGAACATTCCTTTCTTTTGTTCGAAGAAATTTCCCCACAGCTACTCTAACTGTCCAGGTGGTTAGCATCACACGGGATCCACATTTCAAATAACAGGAGAAAATCATTCTTAATCCTAGAATCCACACGTTCCTGAGCTTGCATTCAGTTAAGGAATGGCATCTTCAGATGTTCAGACCGGAAACCCTTAACCCATTGAAATCCGTACTCTAGGATTACGCTGTGGCCCACATCTGTAATCCCAGCACGTTCGGAGGCCAAGGTGGGCGGATCACCTGAGGTCAGAAGTTCGAGATCATCTTGGCCAACATGGTGAAACCCCGTCTCTACTAAAAATACAAAAATTAGCCGGGCGTGGTGGCGCACGCCTGTAATCCCAGCTACTCGGGAGGCTGAGGCAGGAGAATCACTTGAACTCGGGAGGCAGAGGTTGCAGTGAGCTAAGATTGTACCACTGCACTCCAGCCTGGGCAACAGAGCGAGACTCTGTCTCAAAAAAGAAAAAAAAGAAATCCTTACTCTCCCTTACTTCTCATATCCAACCAAATCCTATGGCTTCTACAATTGATTGTCTTCCATACCTCTTTAATTAGTCAAATTTTTCCAATTCTCACAGCAATTACCATCAACTCTTGTCTAGACTTTTGCAATACTCTCCTGACTCTACTATTTTCCATCACTCTCTCCTATTTTACACACTGCTGCAAGTGTTCCTCCTGAAACACAGATATTGATGATTATGCTATTACCCTGTTCAGTAATCTTTACAAGCCCCCATGATTCAGTTCCTCAGCCTACGATTTCAAGCCTTCTACATTTGAATCCCTCTCTACTCTGCCAGGCCCTCCATCCTATTTTATTGAAGTGAAGCTCTGAAAACAATATTAAACTTAACTGATATTTTGGCTGGGCGCAGTGGCTCACACCTGTAATCCCAGCACTTTGGGAGGCCAAGGAGGCGTGGATCACCTGAGGTCAGGAGTTCAAGACTAGCCTGGCCAACATGGTGAAACCTCATCTCTACTAAAAATACAAAAATTAGCTGGGTGAGGTGGTGCGTGCCTGTAATCCCAGCTGCTAGGGAGGCCGAGGCAGGAGGATTGCTTGAACTCAGAAGGCAGAGATTTCAGTGAGCCGAGATCATGCCACCACACTCCAGACTGGGTGACAGAGTGAGATTGCGTCTCAAAAACAAAATAAATAAAAATTAAAAATTAAAAAACCACTCAACTGGTATTTTCATAAGAACTTCTAGCTTTCATTTTGTATGTAAGGAGAACTGAAGTATAGAGAGGTTAAGTAACTGCTCCAACAAAGGTTACTCTACAAAATGGGGGGTGAAAGGGACTTTATTTTTTGTCTTTTGTTTCTTGTTTCCCACTGCATTGCGGTGACTACTAAAGTAGTCTTTTTCACTGGGAGTCATGAGGCATCATGCGGCGTCATTGTAGAGTGATGAAGTGTCAGGAGGAATGTTCCAGTAATTTGCTACTGATTAAAAGTGCCACTATTTCCTATCGGTTTGGTTTTAGATTAAAGGTAATGTCTGTAAAGCTCTTCCTAGGTGGAGAGAAAGAAGTGGAGCTACAATAAATTAGAGGGATTTACATATAACTTATAGGAAGGCCAAGTGCATCCTTGTGGACAAAAGTTGAGAAGTGCCACAGAGAACCACCTGAAATGCCTCCTATCATTAACCAAGAGTTTTAAATTTCAACATTTAAATAAAGTCCAGCCTGGGCATGGTGACTCACCCCTGTAATCCTAGCACACTGGGAGGCTGAGGTGGGAGGATTGCTTGAGCCTGGGTGTTGAAGACCAGCCTGGGCAACATGGCAAAACCCTATCTCTACAAAAAATACAAAAACTAGCCAGGCATGGTGGCACACACCTGTGGTTCCTGCTACTTGGGAGGCTGAGGTGAGAGGATCACTTGAGCCCAGGGAGGCTGAGGCTGCAGTGAGCCATATCAAACTACTGCACTCCAGCCTGGGCAACAGAGTGAGACCCTAACTAAAAAAAAGAAAAAAAAAAAGTAAACAAAGTTCAGAAACATTGTAATTCCCAAATGCCAAAACTTTAAAATCATTAGTTATGAAAAAAAGAGGTATGATCTAAAGTACAAGTAACTCAACTAAAATTATCAACAAAGGCATGGTAATTACTGCAGCTATAATTCATAGCTGAAAACTCACATGAGTACAGAACCCAAGCTTGAAACAATAAAGTTGATAATTAATACCAGAGCTTTCCTTTCTGAGCAAAGGTCTCCAACTATATTTTGTGAATGATAAAAAGGAATTGTCAGTAACTGATTCTAACAACTGTCAAAAGGCCAAGTTATAGAAAGTAAGGAATTTCGGAAGAAAAGAAGTTAAGAAAAGTTTACATGACAGATTTTTCTGCTACTGATAAAATAAAGAAGACATTAAAGCTGAACCACTCTTCTAATATTTGTAAGCAAATAATCAATTTTTCATTTTGTTTTGATAGATTTCTATGAAATTATCTACTTCTATACAAATGTAATGAACTAGTTATGCTGAATTGCTGTCTGATTACTTAATAGATTTAGCTACACTAAAGTAAAATGTTATGATTGTGAATAGTAAATAGTGTTCTTCAAAAACAAATGTATTGGAAGATTTTAGAGAAGAGTAAAATTTTAGAGAATAATGAATGTTATTTTTAAATTTTAAAAATAAAAAATAGTATTTGCTTTGAACATTTTTGTCAAACAAAAATCAAGTTTTTTTCTAGAAAATAATTTTAATATAAAATGACAATTATTTAATTATAGAAGAAAAATGTTTAATTCCTTTCCTTTTATCATGTTCTGATCAAAGAAGATTTCACCAAAACATATTTTTGCCAATTTCTCACCTCCTCAAATTCTAGAAGATCCCTTTTTGTTTTGAATAACCTGTGGATCCTAATTTTTTCCTCCTACTCCACAGGAGTTATGCTACAACAAAATTCTCTATAGGAAGATTGCTGAACTCTGTTATTTCCAAGATGTACTGTATCAATCAGGAAGCCTTTAGCTGCAAGTAACAGATAACACCAATTCAAATAAACTTAAGCAGTAAAGAAATTTATTATTTTACCACCACCACCACAACAACAAAAATCAAGAAACTAGCTGTTTCTGGGCATAGTACAACCTGTGGGTAATGGTGTCATCAAGGACCCAGATTTCTTCCAACTCTCCATTCTGCCACCTTCAGTAACAATCTCATTCCAAGGCTGCTTCTCTTCATGATCCAAGATGACTTCAGTATTTCTAGGTTTTACACCTTGACGTAACAACATCCACAAGCAGAAAAAACAAAAAAACAAACAAAAAAAACCCTGCCCAGGCTGGGCACCATGGTTCATGCCTGTAATCCCAGCACTTTGGGAGGCCAAGGTGGGTGGATCACGAGGTCAGGAGTTCAAGACCAGCCTGGGCAACATGGTGAAATCCTGTCTCTACTAAGAATTAGCTGGGTGTGGTGGTACATGCCTGTAATCTCAGCTACTCGAGAGGCTGAGGCAGGAGAATGGCTTGAACCCGGGAGGTGGAGGTTTTGGTGAGCCGAGATCGCGCCACTGCACTCCAGCCTGGGTGATAGAGTGAGAGAGACTCCATCTCAAAAAAACACAAAAAACAAAAAACAAAAAACCCCAAAAACCTGCCCAGAAGCGACCCCTCCCTCTCATATACTTTTCGTATTTCATGGACTAGAAATGGGTCACATCCTTACTCTTAAACAATCCCTGGCAAGGGGACTGATATAATCATAATTGGCTTAGAGTCTAAGACTTCGCCCAATCAAGATTTACCCCTATGGCTGCACGCAGTGGCTCACGCCTGTAATCCTAGCTGCTTGGGAGGCTGAGGCAGGAGGATCACTTAAACCCAGGAGTTCGAGATCAGCCTGGGCTACAAAGTGAAACCATGTCTCTGCAAAAAATTAGCTGAGCATAATGGTGTGTGCCTGTAGTACCAGCTACTCAGGAGCCTGAGGTGGGAGGGTCACCTGAGCCCAGGAGGTTGAGGCTGCAGTGAGCCTCGATCGCACCACTGCATTTCAGCCTGGGTAACAGAGTGAGACCTTGTAATATATTTAGCTACATGAAAGTAAAATCTTATGATTGCAAATAGTTAATAGTGTGTTTTAATAGTGTTTTAAATGAGTTTTAAGTGTTTTACTTAATAGTGTTTTAAATTTTTATTTATTTCAAAATAAATGTGTTATAAGTGTCTTGTGTTTTAAATTTTTGTTATTTATTTATTTCAAAATAAATACAAAGTAGTAATAAAAATTTTTAAATAAAAAAATTGGCTGGGTGTGGTGGCTCACACCTGTAATCCTAGCACTTTGGGAGGCCAAGGCAGGCAGATTGCCTGAGTTCAGTAGTTCACGACCAGCCTGGGCAACACAGTGAAACCCCGTCTCTACTAAAAATACAAAAAATTAGCCAGGCATGGTGGCATGCACCTTTAGCCCCAGGTACTTGGGAG